CTGAGCACTTTGGAGAGAGATGCCAGGCTTGTACAGACAGTTGGCCTGACTTGACTATTTAACACCCGATATTTTTATTGGGGGATAATCTTTAGAAAGGAAAAACTTTTCCAAGAATCTAAGTGGTTTCTTAGGAACAGGAATTCCCTGCTCTTGTTTTCCAAGAGCCATTGACAAATCTATTGCTGGGCAAGACCTGGAGTCCACAGACGGCCGGATGGGTGAAAAGACGCCTGGACTGGGTGACAGAGGAGGGTAGGAAAGATGCGGAGGTGAGCAAGTACAGTCAACTTATGAAGTGTTTTTTTTTTTTTTTTGAATGGAAACAGAAAAATCTGGTGATATAGGCTCTTCAGTCAAGGAGGTGTTTTTAAGGTAAGTCTTTGTCAGTTTGGACACACTGAATGAATGGGCCAGGAGAGAGGTAGTTGCTAGAGTGAGGTACTAGGGCAGTGACAAGAGATGGGACCCTGCCCTCTGACAGGAGTGCATTGGGTCTCCCTTCGCTCAGCCGCTGAGTCCTTCAGGCAGCAGGGTCAGGAAAGGACTTCTGCAAGAGGCCTGAAGGGCCAAGGGCCTGTCCGGGGCAACCTCCTGCCAATGAGTCACCGACCCCACCCTGGCTGGCCTGGCCTATAACTGGGTTTCTGTTCCACTGCCCTCTTTTCCAGTTTCAAGCTGAGCCTGGGCTGTCCCTCTAAAGGTGACCCACCCCTTTCTGAATAGCCCCCACCCCCACCCCAGTGGGCCTGGCTTCCCTGCCTCTCACCATTTGAGTTCATCATTCCCTTCCCACCTGAGCACTGACACCCTATCCCCCAAGTCCTACTAAGCTTGGACAACCACTTTGGGCAGCCGGGAAGTTCCTATCAATCCCAATCTCTTCCTCTCCCACGGCAGCAATTTGGGCTAAACTCCAAGCTTTCCTTGCAGCCACTGAACTTGAGTTGGGACAATATGGTCATTACCCTCGGTGAACAATATAACTTTGTACATATGAAAACAACATTCCCTAACAAAGGAACCCTTCTAAAACAACCAAGGCAAATGCATGCGTGCTGGTGAGACAGTCCACACATCCCTAATTGCACACCCAGAAAAATGCCTACAGAACATGCTTTGCTCAAGTGTGGAAGTGACAGGGCTATGTACCAGGAAATCAATCAATCAATCAATAGGAATCAATGCACAGTTTTCAAAGCATGGCTCTGAGACTTAAGTCAACAGGAGGTTGGGGCAATAGGAATGGAAGTAGCCCCACTGTTAAGCCCGAAGTAACACACAGAACTAGGGATGTGGAGGGACCTGGGAGGTTCCTAGTGGACAGAGCTGAGTTCTGCCCTCTGAAGCCTGAGATGATGCACAATGGGGTGGGGGTGGGGGCAGATGATGGGGCCAGGAAGATCAGGCTTGTTTTAAACTGGATTGTGTAGATAAGGGAACCACTGAGGCTGTTGGGCAGAGCTGAGACACACGCAGAACCCTGATCAAGCAAACTCAAAGACACCAATATGGAGATGGGAAGGGGAGTCATGGCACAGGGCATGAAACCATGGCACAGTGCATGAAGAGAGACCACAGTTGAGACTTAGACCATTTGTGGTAAATCCCAAAATGGGGACTAATTGGAAGTGGGGGGTGGTGGACCAAGGGAGACAAAGGAATGAAAGATAACACTAAGGTTTTGAGGGTGAAGGGCTGCATCATATAAGATCTAGATGTGGAAGGAGATGCTGCCGGCAGCAACTGGAGGACTTGGTTGGTACATGCTGAGTTTGAGGTGTCATGGGTCACCCAGGCAAAGGTGCCCAGGAGGATCTCTAACTCAGGAGTGAGATCCTAGCTGGAGACCCAAGTAGATGCAAACTTAAAGCGTCCTGCCTTAAAAACTTTTCTTTGTGCTTAGTATCCCTGGCACAGTGACGAGATCTGAAGTCAGGGAGATGAAGACTGACAAAGGAGAACCCTGCAGACAAGTGTTCCCACTGGCCAGGTTCACGAGTCACCATCACACCGAGCCCGCCCTTCTTCCCCACCTGTCCGGGTCTCACTGCCCACTCCAGGTCTAGCTCCACCAAGGAAGCCCTCCCTGCCAATTCCAGCCCCAGAGATCCCTTCATGATGCAAGTCAGTTCTGGCATCCCCCACCTTACCACTGGGCCTGGTGCTGCCAACCTAGTCCCCAAGCATGTTGACGGCATCATCTGGTACAGAAATAAGAGGCTGAAGAAATAACTCTTTTTTGGTCACTTGATCCACTGCTAGATTGGAAAACAAGAACAGTAAAGACAGCTTGACTAGTAATAGAAAACCAAAACCCACAAATGTTGGCCTCAAACAGCATCTATTCATTGCAAATGGCTGGTTAATTTGTTATGAATGAGATCTACAGGATCATCAGGAGCTGTGGGATCAACATCTCAAAAACAAGTTGCAGCTGTGTGTTCCGGCACACAGGAGGGTGGTGCCTGCCTGTCTCAGAGGCAGGTGAGGCCATATGGTTTGCTCTGGCCCATGAAATGTGAACAGGAAGCTTCCGGGTAGAAGTTTTAAGATTCGGCGCACAAATCACCAATTCCCCCTAGATCTCTTAGTGATGCCTACGAATACAGCCTGCAATCACACCCCCTGTCAAACATATACTGGAATGAAATATAGTCACCAAAACCTTGGTGTCTACAGATGGGTGACCCAAAGGATGGGTCAGTGTTTCTGGGTGGGGGTCACCCCTGGTGTTTGTGTGCAACAAATAGTTCTGTGGTTGCAGGATGGGTGGTGGCATCCTCGGCTCAGGGGTGCCCCAGTCACGTGACAGCCAAAATTGATCTCATCCTCATATTCCCAAACACACTGAGACTGATACCAGCCCTAAGGGACCATGAATGTGAAGGTGTCCCCAGAAGTTGGGGTGGGGTTGAAGCGGGGGCCACTTGGCCTAGCTGGGTGGTGGGAGAAAGGCATTTGACCAGTGATACTACATAAACCTGTGGAGTGCTCAAATTGGCTATGACGAGTTGAGAGTAAGGAGGTGTCTCCTCCCCTGACAGCACAGAGGGAGATCTTCCTGGAGGGATAATCGAAGAGATGGACGCCGCCGTGGCGAATATGCCCCTGTGCCCACTTGTCAGTACAACGAATGACAGCTTTTATCTGGGCTGAACGGGTCCTTCTACAAGCGCAAACCACCTTACCCACTCCCTTCACAGATAAGGAAATGGAGCTGGAGTGGGGAGGGAGCGTCAAGGTGGAACAGAGGTAAGAGGGAGAGGTGCCTTGGGGCAGGGGTGACACCTGAAAGAGGGGGAGGTTCTGAAACACAGCAGGTGGGACTATGGAACAACCTGGTTGGGATGGTGGGGGAGGGGTGGAAAAGAAGGGGTCTCAGAGGTAACCCTTCACCTTCCAGACCATGTGACAGTGCCTCCAGCAGGTAGCTGGAGCTATGAGCCAAATGGGATGGAGGCAGGTTCTGTTGGAGGCTCAGGATGCCCAGAGAGACAGAGCGGCAAGCCTGCCTCCTGGAGCCAGCTCTCCAATTTGAGGGCAGGCGCAGACCTTCTCACGCACACGCAGGATATCACTAAGGGAATGAGAGCCTCACGTATCAGTGAACACCCGGCAGTCGCCCGACTCCAGCCCCACAGACAGTTGTTGAAGCAAGAGGGAAGAAGGCAAGTCGCTGTGACTGGATGCACCAATCCTGGGACAAGACCTTGTATGGCCTTTAAAGGACCCAAAGACACGAGAACACAGAAACACACGAGGGCGCTCTAACCAAGTAGCAGGAGAGGAGAGGGCTCCGTCCCCAGGTCCCCAGATGGAAGGAGGATTAGCACTTTGAAGTCTTAGGCCTAGTTCTCAATTAAGCTACTATTAGAACTTAGGGCAGGATGTTTCTGCCCTGGGGGTCAGTGCCCCTCCCGCTGCAGGAAGTGCGCCATCCCTGACCCCTCCCTGTCTCTGGGACCACCCAACGTGCCCTCTCCAGAGAGCCCCTGCTGCTCAATGCCCCCCCACGCCCCCCCACCCCGAGGAATGCACATTGGTGGCCGTGGGGAGCTGGGTAGGTCCTGCTCTCCCTGATTGTACAGAAGAATCCAGCACCTCCACGTTCGACCTGAGTCAGACCTCTGCAGGTGCTGGAGAAGCGGAATCCCCAGTGACATCTGTGCTGGCACTCATGGAGGCTGCACTTTCGGAGGCAGGTTTTCCTCCACGCTGACCTCCCTCTACACTGGGGAGGACGGGGGTGCTGCACTGATTACACTAGGGACACAGACACAGGACCCTGAGACAGACACCCCCATGCCAGGAGGCAGACACGTGGTCACATAGAACACAGCTGGCACAAAACTTCCACACAGCAAGTCTGAAACAAGGCACCTTAGGAGCCCCAGAGGGCCCCCCTTATGAGTTCTGAGACGGTCATCATTATTTTCCCTAAGACAAGCACCAAAGTTGAAAAAACCAGGGACGATATTCTACATATTTCCCAACCAGGTTGAGCCCTGTCAACCACCAGCGAGAGCAGTGTGCCATCAGCCTTGCAAACAGCCTGGTCGGCAGAGCCCGGCCCCCTCCATGGGGGCCTCAGGATGCCAAGGTGGCTGCCTGGGCAGACAGAAGTAATTTTGGGGGAAACACACAACAAGGTGAACAGCAGTTGGGACAGGACCTGGTCCAAAGAGGGGACCAGAGCCCAGACCAACATCTGAGGAAATGAAAGGCTAGATGGAGTCCAGGCCCTTCAGTCCTTGGGGCACGCCCAGTACCCCCCCACCCCCCACCACAGAGCTGGCATTCTTAACCAGAGGTGGCCTGGAGTCCCACAAGGGTGTGTCTGCTGGAAGGCAGGTGTGGAGCCCCAGAACACTTGTGGGCACAGTCTTGCCTGCTGAAATGCTCACCGCCTCTGAGCACAGACGGGAGTGCCCAGCCAACAGCTGTGCGCACTCTTACTGGGTGGGAAGCAGACATTGCAAACCAAACATGATTCTTACCCTCCTTCGAAGATTTTGATCCTCGCAGGCTCCCCTCTCTTGGAGGCAGGAGTGTCCTCCTCTGGCTTCCCTCGCTTCTCTTCTTCCTTTTCCACTCTAGCTATATCTTTCTGGCCTTCTGGGGAAACCAGCGAAGGGAGGTGAACCTGGCCCACCGCAGGGACGACAAAATCATCGCAGGTTAAATAGAAATAATGGAACAGTGCCTCCAGTGGTATTGAACACTTACACACCGAAGATCACTCACTTAATCTTCACTCTACCCTGTGAAGAGGTGCTATTAGCCCCCATTTATGGAAAGAACGAAACTAATCCCCAGAGAGATGAAGTCTCTTATTCAAAGCCATGAGGGCAATCAAAACTGGAACTCCCATCAGGTCTTTCAAGTTAGGCTACCGTGAGAGCTGTCTGCTCTTCCTGTTTTATGAGAATCTAAGAGCTCCTCAGGGACAGGTCCTCATGTGGGTTTCCTCCTCACTCCTGCACCCAAAACAGGGTCTGCCTCAGAAAGGGTGCTTAAGTGGGACAAATAAACCAAGACCCCACTGTTGAGATTAAATCATCCAGTTTTCTTTTACAGACCACAAAGTCAAGGCCATCCAGCAGGGTGCAGGCTCTGGGCTGTCCATCTAAAGGAACCCATTCTCTTCACAGAGAACATGACCCCTAGACACTCTGATGGTGATAGGGAGTGGGTACACCCTTGAATAGGGAGATGATGGTGGGCTGGGAGCTGGGACCAGGAGAGCTAACAGTGAGATTCTTATTTCACTTCACGCCACTGTCCTTAAGGTCATGAGAAACCATACTGTTTACATACAGCAGGAGAACAAGGGTGTCTCCTGGGCCAGGGACAACTGAGGAATCACAGGGCCCCTTGCCAGCCACCACACCTGCCCTGACAAGGATGAGATGGAATTGAACAGTAAGGCAGCTGGTTGGGAATCAGGGAATCTGAGCTCTAGCTCCACAAAGACCAATGCAAGCGGACCACCCTTGGGTGGATTACTTAACCCCTCTGGACCTCAGAGTCTGGGGTTTAGACAATCCTGAAGATTCATTCATGGTCAATAATTATGATCCAGTAATTTCCTGATGATTTCTTTAGAATTGGAGATAGGGATGCATACAGACTACTGATTTGGCAGCAAGCAGCCCAATAATACTCATGAATTTCCAGAGCCTACTGTCTCTACTCCCCTCTTGGCCTGCATCTGGGCCAAGCATGGAATGACCAAAGCACCTCCCGCAGGATGATGGACAGCTTCTTTCTCACAACCAGCTGTGACACCTGGGCCAGGCTGGAGGAAGTTGATTTTGATGGCAGTGAGCCATGCTATCAAGAAACATTGCTGGAATTGAGAATGGGGCCAATGATCCACTTTGATTTTTAATAATAATAAGAACAAGTGTAGCTAAAACATTTACTGCATGCCAATGTGCCAAGCACTGCTCTACATTCACTCTCCATGTTTTAACTCTTTTTATTATCTTTCTAGTCCTATGAACTTAGTATTAATATTACCTCTCTTCTACAAATGAGGAAACCAAGGCACAGAGGTGTTAAGTAACTGGTCCAAGGTCACCCAGCTAGTAAGTGAAGCAATTGGACTCTATCTGGGCAGCTTGGCACTGCAGTCCTTGCTCTTAATTTCTTTGCAATTGTGCATGTAGCTGTCAAAATGATGCCCATGGAGAAAAAAGGAAGAAGAAACTGGGGAAACAGAATGTAGCAGCAAAATGAACTCTTGTTTAAATGTGGATTTCTTCAAAGCTTATATATGGAAAAAATATCTGTGATCAAACTCATATAGAATAGGGTAACCTAGACTTGCATGAAGATGGTTAGGAAGAGAGTAAAATTGCTAAGATAGCCCAAAGAGCCTTTTCAGAGCTACTGAAAGGAGACTAGAAGTGACAGGATGACAAATATCACCTGAGTACAATAAAGAACTTTCTTAAAGTGCTGTCCAAAGATGGGCTTGGTTGTCCCGGGGGCTGATCACTGTAGATATGTAAGCAGAGACCAATGATAGTAGCGTAATAGTACAAGGGCAGAAGCCATGGACCATGAAGTTACATTAATGCACTAGCTTGGTGCCCTTCTGGCAGGAAATGTACCAGTGAATCAAATGGAATATTCTAAGAAAATGTTTTCAGGTCTCAGCTCATTTTAGGAAGGCACCACTTTAAACAAGTAATTGCCAAACCCAAGTAAGCCAAATTAACTCTTCCTTTTTCTTCAGTGGCCATTTGGTGTCCAGTCAATAAAACAGAGAGACAGTCCAAGTCATCTGAAAGGGCTTTGTACTGAGATACAGTTTTGTACCCAGGCTTCACCACTGGGCAAGTTATTTAATTTCCTTGGGCCTTGGCCTCTTCATTCATTAAATGGTGATACAGTATCCCAAAGTTTGAGGTTGTTGTGAGGATAAAAGTAAAATAGTTTAGCACAGATCTGGCACATTGTATGAGGAGTTACAAACATAATTACAATAGCATCTTGGGTATAGCCATAACTAGTAAGAAACTCTTGGGGAAAGTCAGTCATGATGTTTATGTCAAAATTGTAAATCTGATTTAGGGATGTCTATTGTCTGACAAGGACAATTAGAGTGTCTATGAAGACTACCCAGTTGAATTAAGGATAAATTCAACACACAAAATTCACTCAATGTTAAAAGGACACAAATATATGAGAACTTACAGAACCTGGTTTTGCTCATTTATCTACACTATGAGTTTATGCTTGATTTGGTCAGAGCATCTGGTCTGAAGTTACACAAATGAACATCTTTAAATTTTCAGTCATATTTTAACATTGTCTTTCATCCAATAATGAAAGAAGGAAAATCAGACTCACTGGAGTCAGGCAGATCTGGGTTCCAATTCTAAGTTTGCCAAGTCACATTGACCTTTCTCATTCTCTGACCCTCAGTTCCCTCATCTGTGGAATGGAGATGGTTCTGCTGCTCACAGAGGAAGATGAACATTGACTGGATTCAAGAGCCCAGCACAGTGAGGTGGTTCGATCAATAAGACCAAGTATTATTTCACAACTCAGCATCCTGGCCTGAATCCTTAGGCTAGCTTTGTCAGGGTATGGAGATGTCATTCATGTAAAGCCAACTTGGAATTATCACATTTCAAATTTCCTGAATTTGCAGGAGACCAGTTCATCTTATCCTGATGCAGCCTCACGTCAGAAACAATGGAGGAACAAATACGAACCCTTACTGGGGCCTGATGCTACCACATAGCCAGGCAGGTCAAGCTCTGAGTGATATTGCCATCTACTAGTGAAGAGGGATACCACAGCCCAGCTCATTTTGTTATCCTACTCACAGAAAAGAAGGGAACATTTCAGGAACTGTGAAATTCTAGAACATTTAGAAGCAGGAAGACTTCAAATGGGGGCAGAGAATGAAAACAGCATGTGTAGAGAATAATAAAAGCATAAAAAGACAAATAGGGTAAAACAAGTGACGAGTGGTCTAAAGTTCTAAAATTGTTATAAGCATTCCTATCAGTCAAGTTTTCCAACTCAGTCTTTGGGAGAATTCCTGTATCCTGACTGAGGTTGAGTCTTTGATTTTTAAAACAGAAGCTAATGGAAAAGTAGGATCACTTTAAAGCTCACTTTATTAGACTGTATCTAGTCCAGTGATTTGAGGGATATGCTGATAAACTTAATAAATATGCTTCTTGGCAAGGTGACCAGTCACAGGTGAAGGTGAGGAAACATGGCTTTAGTTTTGCAAATGGGACTTGAGAAGAATATGGCTTTAAAAGCTCAGCAAAGACTTAAAATCAGCGGGGGTTACAAAAATAAGGTTGAACTTACCTCTGTCATGCGGGGCTTGCGGGAGCTGGATGGCACAAGCCTTCCTGTCTCAGGATGCGGAGCTGTGGCCATGGTGTATGTCTCTTTGCTCACCTTCTGCTTAGACCTCAGGAGGGACAAAGCAGCTTTAGTGGAAACCCCCGGAAGGTTGGGGTTGTACAAACTTATGCACCAACCAGCGTAAACAGAGGACCTCCTATCTGCATGCTGGATGTGATTTGGCTTAATGTAGTTTAAATAGCACCAACTGACATTAGTGGTCGTGTGGAGGCTGGGGAACTGCAGTACCTTCTTTGAGTCCGTACCTTCTTGAGACTTGGCTGGTCTGGGGGATGTTTCAGACAGAGGCGGCAAGCTGGGAGGTGCCAGTGGAGGGAGGTCAGGTTGTTCCTTGGAATCTTCTTTCTTCACGCTCAGGGGGGTCAATCCTCTCCGGTGAGGTTTACCAGATGGCTGGGTATAGTCTTTCAAAGTCTCTGTGCCTGGGGCTGTCACATGAGGCAATAGGGGTCGATTAAGGGGAGGAATTTCCTCAGGGTCAGAGGGGTCTGAGGTTAGACTGGACAGCATTTCTAGCTCCTTCCTTCCCTGTCCTTGGCTGCCCAAGTGGGATTTCTCTGGCCTCTTACCATCTTCAGTGCTGGTAAGCACCACACTGCATGGTTTTACCAGCTCTAATTTTTCATCTGCCTTGGAAGCTTCCTCTTCCTTCACTCTTTTTTGCTGCTGGGTTTCCATAGTAAGTTCAAGACTGCCAGCTGGTGAAAGGACACGTTTGCTTCCCCCCACTGTTGATGAACTCCCCTCCAGGCTCAACGCACTATCTGTTGTCAGGGAAGTGCCTTTTCGTTCAGGCACTCTCAGGTATGGAGTCGGGAAACCTCTGCTCTTCTCTTCACTGACCCCAGCTGGGCCAGGCCCAACCTCATACACATTTGTGCCACATACAGTCCCTTTGCATGGCAGTTCCTCAAATTTGGGAAGAGCCATGGTTGCTGAGTTGCCTTGGGACTGAGTGACCAGGATCTGGGAGAGGGTGGTGTACATGGCGCTCCCGTAGGATGGCATATTGGTCTGAATGCGGACGGGCACAACCAAGGACACCATGGTATCTGGACAGGCTGGTAGGGCCAGCAGAGGGGCTGATGTGGGAGCTGAGGAGCTGGCTGGGGGAGTCACAGGGGGCAACTGGACATCACTGCTGTACTCTGTGCTGGGGGAGAGGCCAGAAGTTCCTGTTGCCAGTGGGGCCAGGCTAGTTTTAATCTGGGGCAGATGACTTTCCACATCGCCGGGGACCTGAAGGGTAAACTGGGATTGCAGAGGCAGGAAAAACCCAGAAGAGAGTGCTGAGGAGGCAGGGTATGGCATGGGGAGAAATGAAGGGGGCTGCCGAAAGGGGATGCTGGCTGGGTGGGGCATGAGCTGGGGAAGATGGAGTTGGCCTGGGTGCAGAACAGTAGGTTGGAGAGGAAGTGGTGGGGCTTGAAATAAAGAGGGAGGGAGCGGGGGCATGGAGTATGGTGAGGAAAGGAGGCTGGACATGGCCTGTGTGGAGAAGAATTCTGAAGACTGTCCTGGCTCATGCTGCAGGAGGTGCTGGAAGGAGAAGAGGGAGACAGGTGGGGGCAGATATGGTTTCTCATGCAGGGGGAGCTGAGCGATGGGGTGGTGGAACACCTGCAGAGCTTCTGTGTAGGGTGGAGTGGACCCCAGTGGGGGCAGGTCCTGCACCTGGCTCTTGCCCCCTGGGTGCCCACTGTGCGAGGTGGCCGCTGAGGAAATCTGGGGCAATGAGCTTTTGGTTAAAGGTTTGCTGGATGAGGGCTTTTGTTCCTCACTCTCCTGTCTTCCCTTAGGGGTGGTCTCTGGGTCAGTTTCTGGAGGGCGGCTCAGAGAAGCCTGTCTCACCAAAAAGCATTTTCTTCTTTCTGGCGGGGCTGCGAGCACTGCTGGGGCCGCTGGGGCTGGCACAGGAGGGCCTGTCAAGGACAGGCTGCCATAATCAAATGATTTGCTGCGAGTCTCGGTCATATGGGTGAGATGGGAAACGTTGGGGCTCTGCTCTGAGGCTGACCTCCGCATCTCTCGGGTGTGTGCGTGGTGGCTGGGGACAGTCAACATGTGGGAGCCCAGAAGTTTGGAGCGTGTGTCCGAAGAGAGCCCGGGGGCCTCTGCTTTTCCATGGTCATCCCTGTCGAATGAGGCTGAGCGGCTGGACCCGCTCAGAGAGACACCACTCTCCTGGCTCGGGCTGCGAGACAGAGGCACGGAGGACTCAAAGCTGGACTCCCCTGACGATTGGGCCATCTCCACCAGGCGCAGTCTCTTCTTCTTGGGTGGCAGCTTCTCAGCTGGGAGCTGGGCAAGTGTCTGGCTGCGCTGGGGCCACTGGAACTCCTCTGTCTTCTCCGGTTCCTTCGGGGGCGGTTCAGGCTCTGTGTCGGGGCGGTCGGGCTCCTCGGTCACCAGGATCTCTGGAACTTGGATGTTGGGCTGGCGGACCAATTTGGGCTGCAGGGAATGAGCTGGGCGTCCATGTGGGGTGGGTGGTGGTGACGAGAATGGGGCTGGAGACTTGTCTTCCCCTTCCAAGCCACTGGGCTGCTCCAGAGAATCAGACTTCTCAAAGGAGCTGGTGTGCTGGATGACAGAAATTTCTTTGGACGTTGTTCTTCTCTCCTTCCCTGATTCTGAACCAGACCCTGGCTTGGGAGTCCTTGCTTGGAAGCCCGGGGGCCCCTCCAGGGAGGGCACTGACTTACTTGGTTCTGCTGGTGACTTGGCGGACTCCAGGGGAAGGTTCCGTGCAGTGTCAGATAACCTGGGGCTGCCAAACTGACTTTTTGTCGACTCAAAGGCAGGCGTTTCTTCTTCGTCCCCAAGGCTCTTCTCTTTTCTCCTCTTCCTCAGTGGAGTGAGCTCCAAGGTGGTCCCCAGTTTATAATGCATCATCTGGGACCAGGGCTCATGCTCAGCCTGACTCTTTTCGGTTTCTGAAGACGGGTGAGCACCTGCAGAGACAGGTTTTGCGATCTGGAGCTCTGAGCAGTAGTATTTTTTATGGGCTTCATAGTTGTCCCTTTTCTTGTACCGAGCACCACATATGTTACATTCATAGATCACCCCTTTTGTTTTCAAACCTTTCTTGGTCTTTTTGCTGAGCTCACTCTCCTTGGGCTCCGGTTCGTCTACGGGTTTGGAGGCTGTGTCTTTGCTACTTGGCCCTGGCTCCTCGGAACTGTACTCTCCCCCCAAAGGTAGTTCGATGGCCGGCTGGCGCTTGAGCATCCGGGGGTGGGAGGTAAACACTTGACTGGTGCGGCTCAGGGCTTCCGAGTCGGTGACATGGTCGTCGAAGGAGTAGCTCCCCCGGAAGGTGGGATGCGGGGTGGTGCTGAGGGTGCAGGCAGCAGAAGGCATTGAGTGGCTTCTCAGCAGAGGCACGGGGGGAGTGGTGCTGGGCGGGTGCTGGAGGCTCAGCAGCGATTGTTCCGGTTTTGCTTTCTCACTGTGGGATGACAGGGGGTCCCGGAAGAGGCTGGATTTGGGGGACTCCATGCTGCTGCGCCGGGACAGCGAGCTCCTCCTCGGCTTCACACTGTCTATCTCGCTGGTGTCCACCACCGCCTCATTGATGGTGATGAGCTTGGTGATGTGCTCGATCACCTGCGTCCGGGGCACAGACAAAGGTACCAGGCTGGGCTTGTCTTCAGTGGACAGGGGGAGCAGGGGCTGGGCGGAGGTGGCTGGCAGCATGGTGGTCCGCTGCCCAATCCGCCCACACTTGCCGAAGATGATCTCAGCGTAGGACCTGGCGTTGGTGTTCGGGGGGCTGACCTGCTGCTCGGCACTCTCAGAGCGGGAGAAATACCCAGATTCTGTACTCCCTTTGCTCCCTGGGCTCAGAAACGCCTGCTCATCGATAACCTTTTTCCTCTCGCTTAAACGGAGGGCCAGCTTCTGCTTGATAGTGTGAGTGTCTTCGGGTTTATGGCTCAGGGAGGGTTCAGATGAGGGTTCAGAGAACGGGGCGGGGTCCTCAAGCGATGGGGCTGTGCTGGACTGGGACAGGGAACAGCGTTCATGACCGGACCCATGGCTCCCGGAGCTGTACAAACCGCTGGACAGGAGGGGGTGCTTAGGCCTAGGGGAGAGCTCTGCGGGGTGAGCGGACGTGGTGCCTGTTTCCTCTTCTGAGTCTGTGCTCTCTCCTTCAGTGGGCTCCTCAAACTCCTCCCCAGGAATCCTCTCCATCTCCAGCCCTGGGGGGTACATCTCACTGCTCATACCTGAGGCCAGCCCAGCTTTGATGCGGTGGGCATGGGACTTCCTGTGCTTGTAGAGGTTGCTCTTGGTCTTGAAGGAGAAGCCACAGGGGCCGCAGGGGTAGGGCCGTTCTCCTGTGTGAGAGCGGATGTGTTTCTGGAGCACGCTGGGCTTGGCGCAGGGCCGGCTGCAGTACTGGCAGATGTACTTCCCTGGCTTTTGTGGTTTCCTCTCCTTCTTGTGCGCCTCTTCTGTGGGCTTCAGGGAGACCTGGGGGGGACGGGGCACAAAGACTTTGGGGATGCCAGGCATATCCTCGGGGGGGATGATGGAAGCATGGGAAGGAAGGAGCTGGCTCTGAGGGTGGAGCCCAGGGGTCCCAAAGGAGCCCGAGGGCCCAGGTCTCATGGGGTCGACCAGCTGCCATGTGGACCCCTCCAAGAGGTGCTCAGGTTTGCCGGGCGACATGAATGCTGGTGTTAGAGGGTGCTGTGGCAGCTGCGGGAGGTGGACAGAAGCTTCGATGGAGGATCTCTTGGGGGGCTTCTGCTGCTGGCCCGTTTTCTCCTGAGAGCCTTCCCTAAGAACTGGTGAGGGGCCCAGGAAAGGCTGCGGGGCTAGGAGCTCTTGGAGGGGGCCCTCTTGGGAGGGTGCCGTGCCGCTGCCTGGGTATGGGGTGCTGGACGAAACACTAGTCTGGATGGCCTCTCCTTTGGTCAGCCGCTTCCGGGGACTTCCCTCCACCTTCTTAGTACCCTTGACACTTTGTTCAGGATCCATGACCTCCAAGGAGACGTCAGATGCTATTCAGGGAGGGTCGGGGCAGGCTGCATTCACGTGTCCAAGTGTCCCAAGGAGGCGTCTGGCTTTGGCCACATTGGTCAAGAGCTGCAGAAGCCAAGCCCAAATGGTTCTGGGAGGTTTTTTTGCAAGTGTCACTGGCTGCGAGTGGACTCGAACCAGGTCATCAGGGCCCAAGCTGTTTACGTGGGTGAGGCATGGCCCTCTATTTTGCAGACAGAAAACGCACCAGCACTTTCTGCCTGAATGTCTGTCGTGGAAACGTCACGGAGAATGTCAATGTGGCCATTGTATTGTTTCAGTTGGCAGTGGCAAGTGGCCCCCCATGAGTTCCCGCTGTGCTATGTGAACCGTTGAAGGCTGGAGAGGTCCGCGTGCATGGCCCAGTCATCGCTGGTCCCGGCACGAGAGAAGCCACTCTGGATGCCGGGGGGACTCCACCCTCTTCTCCCCTTTAGTCCCGTGATGGAGGCCAGGAGCTGCAGAGGGGAAATCACGCTCTTCTATGTGACAAAAACACACACATGGAGATACACACACAAAGAGAAGAAAGAGTTACTGGGGTTCCTTCATAGTCTGTGAAACCCCAATGAGACCCCGAAAAGGTTCACAAGCAGACTCAACCACAGGTGGGGGGCCTCGCTGAGTGACTCAGAGAGGGTTTCAGCTCCCTAAGTCTCAGCTGCCTAATCTGTGAAATATGTTAACTTTTGCATCAATGGCGCCACAGGCCTGCAGCAGGTCCAAGGCCATAATGGGCTGGGCTGCTCTGGACAGAGGCTGCTGGTGCTGTGGCTGCAGCAGAGGTGCCAGTGAGGGAGGAGTTTCCTGGGGAGTGGATTATTCTCAGGTTAGCATTACTGTCTCTGGCCCTGGATTCTGAAGGCATCCCTGAGGGACATTACTCGTGGCTTCACCCGCTTGCCAACCCACATCCCCAGCCTGTGTTTCATGGTACAGTCCCCTGCCCCAGCCTGCCCCAGCCTGCAGGGCTCATAGGCTAACATGGCTGTGACCACCTGATCCTTTGAGCAATCTCTGGGAGGATCATTATGGCAGCTTCCTCTAAGTTTTGCCACCTTTCCTGGTTTGGGCAGTGCCTGGAGGATGCCTTGGAACAGCTCCAAAAGGGAGTCCTTGCCAAACTGAGGTGCAAAGTTGTTCTGAGTAGAGCCTCGTGTGTGAGTTCTCCATAGGCCAGCTGCAAGTGGGCAGCCTTGGCTTCCAGACTCGGCTACCTGGCCTCTGAGTGCAGCTCAGGGCTCTTCTCTCCAGGAGCATGATCAGAATTCCAAGGCAGGAGGTCACTGTAGACTCTGTCTTGCCTAGCCACCGACTTTACAGTACAGGAAGCAGGACCACAAATGGAAGGGACCCTGCTAAGGTCCCACATACCTAAGAGGCAGGGTCAGCACCTGAATCCAGGCTTCCCAAGGATAGAATTCATTCCCCAACCCAGGTATCTGTCAGGTGGCCATCCCAGAGCGGGGGCTGGGTGAGTGACCAGGGTGTCTAGTGTCTTCCTCTTAAAACAGATAAGAATGCCCTGCTCCTGGCATCTGGACTCTCTTCATGCTCTAGCCCTGCTGTTCAGATGCTGATGCAGACTTGATGACTTTGCTCTTTCTACCATCATAGAGTGCCCAAGAAATAAACAAGTCCGAAAGACTCACATAATTGTCTTTCAAATGGTAGACTCTGATACACTGTGATAAGTTATGGAGGGGCTGGTGGTTCAATCTATCAACTAAAAATCGTATCCTATAAATATACTCCTTTGGTGTTTCCTTCCAATCTTGGTTCAACGAATAATTCAAGGCAAGCATAATAAAATAATATTGATAAAAGAATGACAAAGTTTAAATAAATGTGGTAGAGCTTTAAATAAGAATAATAAAATTAAACAAAGGAAAATATAAATAAAGTAGGAAGTCAGGAAAGGTAGGTTGGAAAGAATGCTTCTATACCAGTCAGAAAGGCTTACAGTGCTTCTATAGTTAAAATATGTGTGAGTTTCCTGGAAGCCAAGGAGGAAAAGGAGATATGGTCCATTATAGATGGGAGGTGGGCTCCATCAGGTGGACAGGAGACTAGCTCAGAATTGTCTTGTGTTTTAGGCTAGGGAGTTGGGCACCAACCAAGTTAGACAAAACTGAGGTAAGACAAGGCCAGGGGCCTGATGGCTCAGAGGCTGTGGGGTTAACGTGACTCCAAACTTATGGGGTTTGATAAAGTTCTTAGTCTGTAATTTAGTCATAGGCATATGCACTCGCGCGCGCACACACACACACACCCCAACATGTTGAAACTGGTCAAAATCTTACTGATGGTAATAAAATATACTGATTTTAAAAGATGAGAAAAGCAAGACTTCATTCTTGCTTTGATAGCTGGGAACCAGTGCAGAAGGTCCAGGTACAGGAAGCAAGCAGTATTTTCATTTATCAAAACCAAGGCTCCTTCTAATAACGTGGGGTATGTGTGTGTATGTCTGTGTGTGTGTGTGTACACAGATGGGGCAGAATTCTTCACCTGCAAAGAAAAGCCAGAGTGGCTGTGGGCTCAGACAGACTTAGATGTGAGGTCGGAGGTTTGGAGAAAATAGGGTCACAGAATGAGGGGGTGGTTCTTGCTGGAATGTGGCAAGGACCGAAAATGTCTCCCATTAGTTGTTCCCCTTTCTTTTAGAAATCAAAGCCCTGAGCTCTTGCTGGGTCTGTGGCCTCCCAGCTAGACTCTATTTCTGCCTCCCTTGCAGTTGGTGCCAAACATGATACATGCAGCTTGTAGGTCATGACCAGAAAGAGCCACACTTGCCTCCACTTCCCCAATTTCTTAGGAAGGAGGGAACATGGAGGAAGTGGTGGTGGTGAGTCAACTTGGACCACAAGGACAGAAACATGACCCCGGGGGACGGTGGAGTGAGAAGACTGGATGGCGGCCTAAAGCAGAGCCACCCGCCCCCAGAGAGAAACACACCTCCTCCTCTTTTGTTTTAAGTCACAGCTAGTGGTTCCTTGAGGAGCAGTTGAACAAATAACACCAACTTATACAGGAAAGTGGAGTGTCCATTGGTCCTAGGGAGGCAAAAATGAGTTGACAGAGCCAGGCCTGGGGACATTGGACTGCTGGGAAAGGGAGCAACACAGTCAGCATTTAGGCCTAGAAGGCAAGCCAGACGTGGGCTGTGGGCAGCACAACAGCCACTAAGCACTAACTTGCCTGCAGTAACACAGTTCAGTGATTCTAGAGGCAGCTCCACCACCCAGAGGCCTGCATCTGACTCTGCCTCCTAACTGGAAATTCTTGAAACATCGCTAAGCCTCTGTCTCCCCACCAATAAAATAGGGACACTGAAAACATTGCATGTGGTTTCAATGGAGTTCATTCATCTAAAGTTCTTAGAAAGGAACTTGGCATGCAGTAAGCATTTCAGAAATAAGGGCTGTCACTGGGATAAAATCGAGGTAGGGACATTCTTCTTTCTGGGGGCTCTAGGAGAGAATCCACTTTCGTGGCTTTTTCAATGTGTAGAGGCTGCATGCTTTCCTTGGCTCAAGGCCCCTTCCCTCTGCAAAGCTAGCAGGACTCCTCTCCTAGGAGTCACTTAAACAGTGAATGCCCTGCTGCCTCGTCACTTACAAGGACTCCTTTGATCATATTAGATAACCCAGCACCAACTTGCACCTCCAGGTCCTTAATTTTTTTTAAAGATTTATTTATTTATACATGCACTGGGCTACAGGTCAGAGGCACGGGAGGGTGACAGGATTCACCAGAGACAGAGCGGGGAACAGAACAGGCAGACAACCGAAAGCACTGCTGAGGGGAGCAGTGGGCAAGACAGGAGAGGTCTGCCACACCATGTGGGAATCTCCCTGGCCGGCCAGGAATCGAACCAGTGCTGCAGAGGCTGTGGACAGCTTCACAGCATTGAGCTCAACCCACTATGCCACTGGGGAGGCCCTCCAGGTCCTTAATTTAATCACAGCCTAAAGTCCCTTTTGCCATGGAAGGCAACATATGCAAAACTTGCTGGAATCAGTATGTGGACATCTTCGAGGCCATCATTCTGCCTATCATAATGGTATCTTACATTTTTTAAATCTGTGTTTCTTGGTCTTTAGTTAGACTGAGAATTTTGCATATGCTTATTAACAAATCATTTCATACAGGAAATCTATTTTTCATATCCTTTATGTTTCCAATGAATTATATTTTCCTAATTGGTTTATGTAATATGCAAATGGTTATGTAATGCATATAATTGGTTTATATAATGCAAGATATGTAGTATCTTGATACTGGGGACATTAATTCTTTATCTCCCCCTATTTAACACTAGTCTGTAATGTTGAACAACAAAAAAAAGGTCTCTATGTGGTCAAATGGACTATCGATCTTCCCCTTGATAACTTTCAGTTTCACGTCCAAGATTATGTTTATAGAATGTCCCCAATTTTATTCTAGTATGAGCTATCTTTCTCTTTCCTCCTTTGTCTACCCCTCTACTTCTCCCGCCCTCCATCCTTCCTTACTCCTTCCCTCCATCTCTCCCCTCCCCCCACACCCAATCCCGTGCTCTTTCTTTCTTTCCACTGGCATTCTGGCTCCATCTGGCATTTATTTATGACATTAATTTTATGGAAGGAATGAGGTGAAGGCAAAGCTTAATTTTTCCATATATATATATATATGCAAGTTTCCTATCATTACTATTAAGTAGTACACTTCACCCCACCAAAATGTCCTGGGACATCTAAAAGACAGATTCCAGCCCTATTTCAGATCTCCTAAAATAGAATCTCTGAAAAAAGGCCCCAGAATCTAGATAGTTTTCAAAATTCCCCACATGAATCTGACATATTTTTCTACAGCCTGGTATTGGGAGAAACTGATGAAAATCCTCTCGCTGCCTCCTAGAACGGATCGCCTTGCCTCTAGGTTCCCCAACTGCATCCCGCCATTCATTGCAGAAAGAGACGTCTCTTCAACTGCCAACCTCACAGGGCCTTTTCCTCTGTCAAGAACTCTAGGCATCTCCTGCTGCAGGGAGAACAGCCAATGGCATTTTGGTTCCAGCAAATGAAGCCTTTTTCCATCCTGTGCTTTCACTTTGCATCAACTCTATCTCACATGCTCTTGACCACTCTGCATCCACAAGCTGCAGCTGCCCATTTAACAGGTGGAGAAGAGTCTGCAGGCGAATTCCACAGAGGCGTCTGGGAATGCTTCCCAGGAGGAGAATGCTTGAGCAGGCCCTTGACTTGGGAGAAAGTGGCTCTAGTCCAGGTGGGCAGAAGGACACTGCAAGCACAGGAGGCTGGACTGCAGCCACGCAGTTGAATTTGTTGCCTCTCTCTGCCATGGCTTTGGGGTTCCTGAGCTCTGATGTGCAGGCAGGGGCTTCTCACTGGGCTGGGGGGTGGGTGGAGTTCAGGGCATGGGCAGGAATTACTACATGTTCCTGCTTAGGCTCTAGAAGGACAAGAAAAAGCCTGTG